AAACCCTGAGGCATGTCCCATCAGCAGGGTTGAGCACGGAAGGGTGGGGAGAAGCAGATTATTAATGGATGGGGAAGAGGGCATATGGTAAGAAAAAGTGCTTGTGCTTGAAAAATATATTAAATGAATAAATATGATCTGCAAATAATGTTACATTCTGAGGTACTGAAGGCTAGGACTTCAACATACAAATGTTTTGTGGGACACAATTCAACCCATAACATGGGATGGAATAGAAGGCATAAGGCAAAACTGGACCTTAGGGCAGGAAAGGCATTGACCTAGAACAGATGAGAGCAAACAGGCTGAGGGAATGGGAAGCCATGGGCCCCAGGCTCAGTTATAGGGAAATAAAGCCAGAGACCTTCAAGACTCTGGCAGAATGCTGATAAGAGCTAGAGGAGCAAGCCCAGCAGCTGTGCCAAGATTCAGGCAGTCAGATTATAGTCACCTGCTCAGGCCTGATTGGTAGAAAGGACGTAAAGACAGGTGTGGCCATCAATATAACCACAGGTGCATAAAGTGCAACCCAAAGACCTTTTTTGCGAAGTAGGTATTCAGATAACCTTCTGAGAGCAAAGGGTGATACGGCAAAGTGCCAGGTGATTTGGATGGAGAAGGTTGTGAAGACTCAGTACAGGATGATGGGCTTGGAATTTGACAAAAGCAAATGAAAGGACTGTCAGGTGGCTCAGGCTGTCCCGCGAGTTCAGGTCACAATCCTATAATGAGCCCATCCTGCTCAGTAGCTCTGATAGAAAGTGGGTGATTGGGTCCACACAGGGTTGGGGATTTGCAGGGCCACTGCAAGAGAAGAACAGGAATGAGAACTGATGTGTGTGTGTGTGTGTGTGTGTGTGTGTAATAGGAAGTAGAAAAAAAGCACCAATAGGGGCTTCCCTGGTGGTGCTGTGGTTAAGAATCCGCCTGCCAATGCAGGGGACACGGGGTTCGAGCCCTGGTCCAGGAGGATCCCACATGCCGCGGAGTAGCCAAGCCCGTGAGCCATGGCCGCTGAGCCTGCGCTCTAGAGCTCACGTGCCACGACTGCTGAGGCCCGCGTGCCTGGAGCCCGGGCTCCGCATCGGGAGAGGCCACCATGGTGCGAGGCCCGCGCACCACGGCGAGGAGTAGTCCCCACTCTGCGCAACTGGAGAGGGCCGCGTGCAGCAGTGAAGACCCAACGCGGCCAAAAATAAACCAATAAAATAAATTTATTTAAAAAAAGAAAAAAAAGCACCAATAGAGCATGAATTCAGGCTGGGAAGGAAAAGCAGCAAACCACACATGTCTCAGAAGCATTCACTCCTCACACCCCACGGGCACAGTTTTCCTTTAGGCCACAACAAAACTTTTACAAAGGCTTCTACCTGCTCTCCTGCCTTTCATCTCACCCACCCTTGCCCCCAGCCTAATCCCATCCATTCTCCACCCTGCTGCCAGAAGGAACTGAAAGGTCTAATCATGTAACTCCTTTGTTTAAAATTCAGCCGCTGTCTGCTGACTAAATACTGCAGACACAGTGTGCTGTACACCTAGGTCTTCTGTTCAGCAGAGGAAGCCAAATCATGTAGTCAAAGAAGTGGTGGCACCAAATCAGAGACACCTGCAGCTGATGTCAACACTGCATCTGCTTGCAAAGGCTGAACAAAGGTAACTTTTTTCACTGAGATTTGATGCACCACCACCACCAAAACAGGACCTTGTTGATGCCATTTCCTTAGTCTAAAAGGTTCTCTTTCCCTTTTGGCTCTTCATTTATTAGGAACTCTCACCATCCTTCAAGATCTAGCTTCCTTCAGGAAGACTTCACTGACCACGCCAGTTAGAAATGACCCCTCCACCCATTTAGCCCTTTTTCTCTTCTTCATTGTGGTTATTTTTTCAAATGTATGTGAAATTAGCATTTCTGCACATCTGTGTGACAGGTGGTGCGTGGGGTGTTTTCATCTGGAAGAATCTTATTGGATCTCCTTAAGGAAGATTGTATCGTGCCCAATGTACAGATGAGGATAATGCAGAGGTGTTAATGCCTGTTGAGGACCTATTCTGTGTACAAAGCTTTCCATACATAATTTCACTCAACCTGCACAACAACCCTGTGCTTCTATTTTAGAGGTGACTGTAGGTTACATAGCTGATTGTAAGTAATGGAGCAGTCAGTCTAATGCAAGTGTGTCTGCTCCAAAGCCCCCAGGTTTTCACTCTGATATGCTGTTCAAGGAGCCTATGATCATGGCCCTGTGGATCCCACCCCATAGTTTACTGTATAAAACCTTATGCATGGTGGAGGCTCAGTAAGTTTGTTCATTCATTCAGTCATTCCACAGATAATTATTGAGCATACACTATGTACCAGGAGGTACAAATGTGCTTCCTAAATTAAGAAATGAATGCATATGGCATGGCATGGCATGGCAAAGGCTATGGAGAAATATAAAGGGAATGCGGGAAGCAGGAGGAGGCTGTTTCTGGACTCTCCATTATGCTCCACTGTCTCTTTGTCTTTCCCTGCTTCCACACCACACTGACATAATTACTACATCTCTGTATTAGTCTTGTTATCTCATGAAGCAAGTGCTCTTTTTATTTTTGATAGTACCTTAGCTATCTTTAGCCCTTCCTACTTTCATATAAATTTTAGAATCGGCTTCTTAAGTTCCATAAAAAGCTGGGGTCTGATTGGTACTACATTTATTCCATAATCAGCTTGGGGAGAATTGTCATTTTAACTATATTGAGTCTTTTGATCTGTGAGTTGAGTATATCTCTCCCTTTAAATATGTCTTCTTTAATACCAGTAACATTTTATTTTCTTTGAAGATTTACATACCTTTTATTAGATTTATTCCTAGACACATAAGTTTATGCCACTGAAAATGTTATCTTTAAAGCATTTATTTTCTGTTTGTTGCTCAGAAATAGAAATGACCAATATTTAGAAACTGATTTTTGTATCCAACCTTACCAAACTCTATTAGTTCTAATATGTTATCTGCAGACTCTCTTGGAGTTTCATATTACCTTCAAATAATAACAGCTCGTTTCTTACTTTGTAGTCTGTAGACCTGTTATTTCTTTCTCCTATTTATTGAGCTAGCTAGGGCCTTCAGGAAAGCAGTGACTCCAAAGGTGATTGAATTTTGGTTTCATATTTTGAAGGTAGAGCCAACAGGATTTGCTGACAGATTGTATTTAGCAAGAGAGTAATCAAGGATGAGTTCAAGGTTTTTGGCCTGAACAACTGGAAAAACGGCATTGTCATTTACTGCACGCCAAGCCAGAGGTTTGCTTGATTATACAGTGCAGGTAATTAAATGAAGAAAGACAAAAACTGATTGATACTTCTTGGCGATGATCTGTCTAACAGGCTTTAGCCTGGTTTTCCACTTTTGAAATAACTCACTCCAGTAAGGATTTAAACATTTACAAATGCTTACAGTAGGGTTTGACTTGTGGCTTCCTGTTCAGCCACTGCCCTCTACAGGGGGCTTGTCTGAATATAAGCTGTGAACTCTAACTAAAATTCAAGCCAGAAAACATGGGATAATTTTTCTCTCCAGCTTCAGTCTTTCCTGTTTCCACTACACACACACACACACCCCACATCTTGTTTTGTGATCCTTCCCCAGATCAGGTAACTACAAGAGAACCTCCCACTCTGGAAACTTGATCCCTGCAATGAACTTCCAGGTAGCTTGTCTGGAAAGATGTTCTAGAAAGTCCAGCAGCATTTCTATGGGGTTAACCTAAGAACAGTGAAGAGACAATGAAGAGGTGACCCCTGCACATGAAACCCTAGGTCATACAGAGAGACCTCATTGTCCCAGCTGGAAGGCCAATTTGACTAACCTTTATCACATGTTTCTCAAGTGACTGGTAAAGGCTGAAGTGTCCTTGAACAAAGAACCAAAACTCTTAAGAAGCTGGCACATTTAACATTCCAAAGGACTGTTCAAGCCACAATAACCTTCCTACCCAGTTCCCTGTGGCTCATTCAACACAAATGTAGGGTATCACACTGCGGTAAGGGCGGCCACTCCCCTCTCCTACCCCTCACCTGCCACCCAACCTCAAGAACCTAAGCTCCAGAAGGGCAGGGACATTGTCCTGTAAGCCTCTCTGTCCTTGGTGTGCAAAACAATGCCTGTCATATAAGAGGCATACAATATTTTAAGCACTGACATTTTCAAGGCTTTAAAAAACTTACCCAAAAGAGTTAAATTTACATTTGTCCTAACTGAAAATCAATGTTGTTTAAAATTGATGAGTCAATGAAAATAGCAGTCACTACACGGAGTAAATATCAAAGAAACGGCAGATGGTGTTAAAAACTTTGCCTCTAAGAAGTGGAACTCTAGTAGGGAGAGGACTGCAGTTTTTAAAATAGAATTTTTACCACTTTCATTTTTGTACGTGCAATTGTCTTGACTTTCTACTTTACGTGTTTAAATTATACACATTCCTAACATCCTAATACAACTATTCATTTTCTTGTATGACCCGCCTTCTTTATCCATATATTCACACATTCATATTAATATAGTTGTTCGCAATCATAGCTACATATTTTAGTCTTTTTTTTTCGTTTAGCCTACAGTTTCAGTTATCATAAACAGTTTTCCGTGTTTCGACCGTCTTCATAATTATGTTAATGGATTCATGATACTCCAATGTTATTGTACCATAATTTAGCTAGATACCTTAACGTGGAACATTCTGGATTGTTTCCACTTTTCCAATGAAAACAGTGCTGCAGTGAAGACTTGCAGACGTGGTCTTGTTCGTTCCGCTGCTTTAAATCATACTGTTGAGTCGTATTTCTGGGGTTCCATATAGGAACCCCGACTCAGACTAGTGATAGAGCGACCAACAAGCTCCAGCAAGACCCAGACCAAGAATTCCGCGCGGCGGGGCGGTGCCTCCTCCCGGGAGGCGTGTCCTGGGCGGGGCCGAGCGCGACCCAGCCCTGCGCTGCGTCACCCACGTCCCGCCCGGCTGAGACCGGCGCGCCGCGCTCGAGTGGCCGTTCCTCCGCCAACGGGTGGCGAGGGCCCGGGGAGCGCGGACGCCGGGCGCGCCGGCCATGGCTCCCTGGGCGGGGGCCGAACTCTCGGCGCTGAATCCGCTGCGTGCCGTGTGGCTCACGCTGGCCGCGGCCTTCCTGCTGACCCTACTGCTGCAGCTCGTGCCGTCCGGCCTGCTTCCGGGCTGCGCGCTCTTCCAGGACCTGATCCGCTATGGAAAAACCAAGGAAGGGGGGCCGTCGCGACCGGCCGCCTGTCGGGCCTTTGATGTCCCCAAGAGGTAACCGCGCCCGGGCGCGAGTCCTGGCTGCCTAGGCGCGGAGACCGGGGGGCGCCCCGCTCGAGCAGCCGGCAGGGGGCAGCAGAGGTGGGCGCGGGCCGGCGGGGCCGGCGCGGACCGGCCCGGGAGGCCTAGGCGGGTTCCTTGACGCGGCGCAACGCCGGCCCGCTCTCCGGCTCTGCCCGCGTCCGCTGCGTGGCGCTGGGGGCTGAATGCCGCGAGTGTCCGCCGACACCGAGGGTGCTGAGCCGCGCGCACCTTTCGGGGCGCAGGAACGTGAACTTCTGGCCGCACGTAGCCTTTCCTTCGGGGTAAATGGCAGCGCTTCCCAATTTAGGCCCGGTCACCAGGCGGTAAATTAAAGTTTCCCAAAATTCTCCTGTTTCCCCTCTCCTGCACTCTAGGGGCTCATAAGCTAACTTGAGGTCGCCGGAACTCACTAAAAATGAAGGCAGGCCCTCCTTTCGCGCCTCTGTGTCCCGTATTTGTTTCCCAACTCTCAGCAGTTAGGATGAAGGGTGAGACGCGGGTCACCAACTGGCGCCCACCTCCTTCGATCGCACTGACGCTCCTTACCCGCATCTCGGCAGGTGCCCCTGGCGAAATGTTGCCCAAGATGGCACATTTTAGGCAAGCCTGGTGTCTAAGCCCCATTTGACTTTCAGCAGATTTCATAACTAAGTTCAACGAGAGATTAAATCGTTTGGACTTAAATAGAATTCTTTCAGAAATTGTAAGGCTTGTTATAGTTTCGGTTTTTTGTTTGCTTTTCTTTAAATTCAGAACATTACCGGGAAGAGTCAGCCAAACACTGCTAGACGGTAGGAATATAGCAGTGGCTTTTTTTGGAGATGCAGCCTAAGTTGGCGTTTAGGAAGGAATCTGGAGAAAAGTGATAGGGTTTCTGATGTATTAAAACACTTTGGTTCTCACTTAAACCTCGCATAGGCGGTGCCCCAGGTCTGCAGACAAGAAAGAGTCTAAATAAACTTGGCTTTGCACTTTTGACTGTTGCAGAAATATTCATCAGGTATTAACACTGAGAAGCGAGCACTAGGTCATTCTGAGGAAATGTAATGGGAATGAGGCTCTGGGAAGAAGTAGACGATTCACACACAGTGATTAAACCTCCTATTTCTTAGAAGCTCTTTGTAAGCTAAAATTTCCGGTCATCCTATTTTTCATCAGGTTTTGAGTGTAGTACTTTTCTATTTCATAGCAGGAACATTCCTAGATTGTCATTTTTTTAGTGTTACAAGGTGAAGAAAAAAATTCTTTTGAGAGTGTGAGTTCTAACAATTTATTTTCTGAATTTTAAAAAAGGTACTACTGTTTCTGGAGTAGAGGGCACATTTCAAATCATTCCCTGCACTTACCTCTTTGGCTCCCATACCCTACCTGTTACTACTCCGGTCTGTCGTTATATTTGACGGCCAAGAAACAAATTTTGTACCTTTCCCTTACTCTTTACTACAAAATTTGTACTCTTTGGGCTCCTTGTAACTTCTACTACATTATGAAATAATTTATGTGTTTTTCTTCTTCCAGAATTCTAGAACGGACCCTTCCATGGTGTTTTGTTTGGTCTTTTTTCTAAATTTAAACTAAAATTTCTTTTCATAATAGAGAAGGTGCAGCAAATCCAGGCCAGTCATGAAAGGCAAAAATGTCTAGATGCTATATTTAAATATTTTTCCTTGTTCAGAATTCAGTAGTACTCTTAAAGGTGAAAATAAGCCTGTAATTTTTACACTTAGAAATAGGCAGCTGTATATCACGTTTCTGCACCCAAGAGCTTAGGTGAATTTGTTTGGGATTATTTTTTCCTAAAGAGGAAAGAATTAAACCTTAATTGAATTCATGGAATGTTGATTCCATTACCCCTGCCTGGTAGATTTTTTTTTTTTTTTTTAATTAAGGTGATAGTTGCTTTTCTTGTTTTCTTTTGGTTCCTGGAGTTTTGTTTTTGTGCTTTTTTAATTTTTAAAAATAATTTATTTAATTTATTTATTTTTGGCTGCATTGGGTCTTCATTGCTGCGGGCAGGCTTTCTCTAGTTGTGGCTACTACTCGTTGAGGTGCGCAGGCTTCTCACTGCGATGGCTTCTCTTGTTGCGGAGCATGGTCTCTAGGCCTGCGGGCTTCAGTAGTTGTGGCATGAGGGCTCTAGAGCACAGGCTCAGTAGTTGTGGCACATGGGCTTAGTTGCTCCACGGCATGTGGAATCTTCCCGGACCAGGGCTCGAACCCATGTCCCCTGCATTGGCAGGTGGATTCTTAACCACTGTGACACGAGGGAAGCCCTTCCTGGAGTTTTGATTTCCCAGAAAGTCTGAATAAATACATAACCTCGAACGTGAGTCACAGTGCTCTTGACTTGCATAGTGTATATGGAAGTACTTCTGTTTCTAATATTTCAAAATGTTATAGAAACATTGCAATTGAATTGAGCTGTAGAGACAAAGAGAACCATCCAGACTTTCCCTACTAGGGTTCAGGGGTCCTAACCAGCAGTCCAGGGGATCTGTGGATAGAATTTGGGGCAAATTGGATTGGAAAAAATTACATCTTTATTTCACTAACCTCTAGCTGAAATTTGGCACTTTCTTAATGATGAATGTAATCAACAAACCACAGTAGAATTAGCAATTCCTGCAATTTTGTGACAAGTTTTTTAATGTTATATTAAAAATATTGAGGAGACCTCAAAACATTATTTTCACTATAAGAATACTGTATTATCCTCCACTATATTTTGTTATTTAATACATTAATTAAGAAGCACATATATTACAAATGTTTCTTAGTGGTTGTGTTACCTATATTTCAGCATAATTGGTTTCGTTTATCCCTATGTCTTTTAGGCATGTAGCCTTCACCAGACTGCCAAAGGAGTGCATGATGGAAGAAAAATGTCAGGAATCCCTGCTCTAGACTGTAAACTCCATATGTTTACATTTGTCTTGTTTGTTACCATATCCCAGGCTCAATGCCTGATAATAATAAGGTCCTTAATCAATGTTTTGAATGAATCCAAAAAAAAAAAGGTTTTAGCTTTAATCGGTTTGTTGATTAACTTGACTGCTTTCTCTGAGAGTAACTTTGGATGTGGTACCTTCTCTTTCATTCATTTATTTAACCATTGTTTATAGAGTACTTACTATTGCCAGGAGCTATTCTAGGTTCCTTGGAGCCTTTGTTTTTGTAAAACGGTAAATATGTAAACAAATCTTGTAAAACAAGCAAAATAATTTCAGATGGTAATAAGTGCTTCAGAGGAAATCCAGCCTGGGTACTTGATCATGAGGAAGATGGGGTTGCCGATGACAACACTAGAAAGGATGATCAGAAAGGGGCAGGGCAGGAGATGAGTTCATTTTGGGAGGCCAGGACAGACAGCAGGCCTTACAGACCATAGTGGAGATTAGATTTTATTCTGAGTGTGTGGAAAGCAGCTTTAGGATGGGGAAGGGGGCATGGCATTATGTGATTTATGTTTGAGAGGATGACTAGCCATTGTGTGGAGAAGACTGGGTAAGAGGCCGTTAAGGGTGCTCCAGGCAAGAGGTGGTGGTATGGACTAGAGTGTTAGCATAATAGCACCTGTTCCTCATACAGGTGGTGATGACATTAAAGCATGTGGCACAGGGCCAGGCACCTCATCAGAACTCAGGAACCATTGGTTTCCTTCCTTAATTAAACCTGTGACTCCCCTAACTGGTCCTGGGATCAGTTCTTGCAATCAGCAAGTAGTGTTAGATCAGATATCTCCTGTCCCAGAACCATCTAGTGGCTTCCAGCTCACTCCCAGGAAGAGCCCAAGACCCTGTACAGTCTTGTCCCCACCACCTCACTGAGATCCTATCATTTGCCCCCCGTGTGGCTCCAATCCAGTTTTCTGGGTCTCTCTGCTTGTTTTCTGTCCCCTCAGGGGCTTCGCCCTGTAGAGGCCTTTCCTCTACCTGGAAAGCTCTTCCCCCAAATAGCCAGATGGTTTACGCCCTCACTTCCTATAATTCTGCTCAGATATAACCTTCTCAATGAGGCCTGCCCTACCCACCCTGTTTAAAAGTATAATACTACCATCCCCAGCACTCCTTCGTCTCTTCCCAGCTTTAGTTTTCTTGTTAGCAATTATCACCTACTGACATGGTGTAAATTTTACTTCTGTGTGTAACTGTGAGTATAAGCTCCATGAGGGCAGGAACTGTTGTCTTTTGTGTTCATTGCTGTATCCCCAGAACCTAGAGCAGTCCCTGGCTTATAATAAGCAGCAAAATGTTTGTTAAGTCAGAGGAGTGCTTGCTCGGTGCCCAGCCCTGAGCTACCATAAGCGTCCCCATATCCCTGCTCCCAGAGGTTCACTTCAGTTAAGCAAAGTGCCAAGGGAGGAAAAAGAGGGAGAGTGTCTAGAAGAGAAGGAAGGAGAGTTTTCAGATCTGCTTTTGAGGCTAGAGCTGGGTCTTTTCAAAAAACAGATGTAACCACGAATTAAGAGTAGGACACGTTTCCTGTAGCAGGAAATAAGGCAAGCAAAACAAGAGATAGAATGTGCAAAATGTAGGAATAAGAAAAACAATCTGCCTGTGAATCAAAACCCCATGGCACAAGTAGGGCACAGCAAAATGTGGCTTAGCATCTTATATCAAACATTCTTGAGTAATTTGGTTGACTTATGGTTTGGTATAAATTGGTACATGTAACATAGGGCTGGAAAAGCAGGTTCTGGCGAGTCTAGATCACATGAATAGGAGCACAGCCATGTGATTTTAACTTCAGAGTCATCAGGGCTGAGTGTGGAGCCAAACACTGCCACTTACTGCACGACCTTGGATGAGTAACTTAACCTTCTGAGCCTTACTTTTCTCAGCTGCCACATGTAAATATAATGCAAACTTGACAGGACTGTTGGGAAGATGAAATGAAATACTCTTTAACTGGTCTCCCCACAACTGGACGATTCTCTTTCCTTACCAGGGGGATTTTTTTTAACTTAAAAAAGACCAAAATGAATGAACAATGCTCTCTCTTTTTTTCTTTTGATTGTGATATAATATACATGACATACCATTTTCCACTTTAACCCTTTTTGCGTGTACAGCTCATTGGCTTTAAGTACATTTACATTGTTGTGCAGCCATCACCACTGTCATCTCCAGAACTTTTCTATCAGCCAGAAGGATTTTTAAAACATAAAGTATTACTTCAGGTTGCTGTGTTCAGATGCCTTCCCATCCCACTTAAAAGCCAGTGTCCTGGGCTTCCCTGGTGGCACAGTGGTTGAGAGTCCGCCTGCTGATGCAGGGGACATGGGTTCGTGCCCCGGTCCGGGAAGATCCCACATGCCGCAGAGCCGCTGGGCCTGTGGGCCATGGCCGCTGAGCCTGCGCGAAAAAGCCAGTGTCCTTACAGGGCCCTGTAGGGTCTGCCCTTGCTTTTCATGTCCTAGCACCCTCCACACATGTGTCCTTTGTTGTGCCTCAGGGCCTTCGTGGTGGTTGTTTCCTCTGCCTAGAACATTCTTTGCTCAGAAATTCACAAAGGTTATTCATTCTAGCCAAGTGTCAGTTCCAGAGAGGCCATCCTTGACCACTCACCCAGAATGGCCTCCCCTCTGCACCGTCTCTGTCCCCTCACCCAGCACTGGGCTAGATGTCTACAGGTTCATTTGCTGACTGTCTGCCGAAAGATAAACTTCATCACGGCAGCCACCTGTTCAGTTTGCTCCCTGCTGTGTCTCCAGCTCCAAGAACATCACCTAGCATGTTCTAAGTGCTCAGTAAATTGTTTTGAAAACATGAAGTAGGTGAAGCGGCCGAAAGTTGCTCCTCAGAAGCCGGCCCCTCCCCTTTCCATGGGAGCCTGCAGAGCACCTTGCAGCTGCCATTCTGCTCTGCTGGCTCAGACCAGACCTGGGCTCAGTTCTAGGAAGTGTGTCTTACGGAAGACCCTGGGAGGCAACCAAAGGCCAGGGGCCCAGGGGTGGGGACGAGGGGGTAGACTTGACACTCATGCATGAACTTTGCAGGAAACTAAGCACTTGAGCCTAGAGAAGATCTGAATCCAGAATAACAGGACATCTCAGAGAGGACAGATCTGGTGATAGAATTTGTAACAGTAGTGGGGAGAATAAGTGGGTTGCTATGGAATGGTCAGCTTAGATCAGTGTTTGTCAGACGGGTTGTGGGCATAGTGTGGGGGACTGTGAGGTCTGGTACATACAAGCATACTCTGAATCAACTGGAAGAGGAGTCCCTGAATCTATGTGTAATCCTATTGACTCCAGGCTGTCTTACTGCATCACAGATTAATGAGACAAGAAGGAGGGCTTAATATAGATGTGATGCATTGAAGACCAGGGAAGGCCAGGTGACCTCCAGGCACCCTGCAGAGTCAGAAAGATTTTGCATTGATTTGATTAGAGAAAAATAGTAGAGGTATAGGTAAAGAGACCTCAAAAAAGCATGTTAGGCCCTGGTGCCATATTAGGTGATTCCTTTGCAGCAAACCAGCATAATCTTTCATGTTAAATTGACATTGCTAATTTCAACTTTTATTGGTTTTGTGGTTTTATTTATTTCATTCGTTACTGTGTTGATTGCAAAATATGTATTGTATTTGTATGAGAGCGGTACCCATCAGGAGTTGATAGCTAGTTTTATGAGTTAATATTTGTCATGTTATTATAAAAGTAATTTAGATCAACACAATTTAAGAAAACACTGAATCAGAAGACCTTTAAGGTTTCTTGCAACCCTGAGAGCCTGTGATTGTGCAAATCTTGTGTAACAGTTGTACAGCTATTGCAGCAACATCACTCGAGATTTAGAAATCTTCCACAGATTTGGCTAGTGTTAGCACAATCTAGGCTGTCTCTGCCAGGCCCTGGGGCCCCCTATTTTTGAGTTTGAGCCCAATCCTGTTACCTGAAGATAAGAGAGAGCTAATTAACCCTACGTCTAAGTTTAACAAGGTCATTCATGTTCTTGTTGACTTTAGGAAGCCTCTTTTTCTTATTAGTTAACCAGTCCCATCATTTCAAAGGAAATTTCAAAAATCTGTACATCTGTAGGATTCAGGTTCTATTAAAAAAGCAAAGCTATACTTGTGGAATGGAGGAAAGAGGATAGGGAAACTAAAAATAGTCTTCCTGTATAAAGGCTTAAAGTGGATCTACTCTGACTATTACCTAACTTGTTTTCCCTCCGCAGGTATTTTTCTCACTTCTATATCATCTCAGTGCTGTGGAATGGCTTCCTGCTTTGGAGCCTTACTCAGTCTCTGTTTGTGGGAGCACCTTTTCCAAACTGGCTTCATCATTTACTCAGAATTCTTGGGGCTGCGCAATTCCGAGGTAACAACTCCTCTGGCTAATACCAACCATTGTATCCTGTTCCTGTCTCTCCTGCCTGCGGGGAGGTGTTCTCGGTATTTCATAGCCACTCTCAGCTTCTTGGCGGGGCTGGGAAGTGAAGGGTGGGGCAGAAAGGGTTCCGCGTGGATCACAGCCAGATGGCCAAGGGGAAGGCCCCAAGTCCTTCACTGAGATCATGGCAGAGCTGAGAGTCAGCTCTTCATCCCTGATTTCCCAGCAAGTGCTGTGCTGAACAGGACTGGCTATTCTCCCTCTGATATTTTTAGTACTTTAGGATCCCTCAGGTTTGCCTTGAAACATTTATCGTATATATAGTTCCAACCACAATCATGCCTCTGGACTCCAGAAATTTGATAGAAAATTACTTTTTGATCACAGGTTAAAAATGTTTGTTATGCTGTGAGGCTTTGGTTATATTAAAAAATTGACTGTAAATAGTTGTTGATCAGATGATTACAAAATAGCATTTAAATTTGCCTCACTGTGCCTTGAATAAAGGATACACAGAACAATTTAAAAGGTAAGGAATTGAAGGTGAAAACCATAAAGTGGCCTCAATTAATATCAGGCATCAGGAGAGGGGCAGAATTAGAAACAAATTGTTCTGGTGCTATCTCGGTCCTTTGTTCCAGCAGCCAAACCGCTGGCTTCCTAGGAACAGTCCTTTTCTGTATAACCAGAGGAACTTGTTGCAAAAGATGACAGAAAGAAAAAGCTATGCAGATCCTACTTGGGAGGGGAAGATACCTCGGTGAATCCCACTTCACCCATTAAAACTTTACCTCTTCATTCGCTTACTGGGGGGCTGGCTGGGGTTCGGATATTTGAAGGGTGGTTGTGAGGAGTTGTATTTGGTTGTTTGTTTTATCCTATTCCTGAAGAGTTAGAACTAGGTTTCACTATATTTAAATGAGAAAAGCAGGCAAAGCCAATCTGTGTGATAGAAGTCTCCATAGAGCGTACCCGCGGGAGGGTGCGGGGAGGGGCAGTGCCTGGAGGGGAGCACGAGGTGCTGGTTGTGTTCTGTTTCTTGATGTAGGGGCTGGTCTTACGGGTGGGATGGGCTGGTGTACTTTGCAAAAATTCATTAGGCTGTGTCCTTATTGTATTTTTATGATGTGTGTGATAACATTTTTAAAAAACATGTAGATTTTATGTCATTTTAAAAACCAGCATTTCTTCTGACTTCTCTTGAGGCAGAGGGCTGAGAGGCAGATAGGAAGATAGATCTCAAGTCTCACAGTCCCCCAAAAGTATAATTTCTTTTTTTTTTTTAATACGGAAAGAAATGCATAACTCTTCCTGTCTCTGTTCCCATCCCCCTTTCTGCTTCTGTATATGCCTGTGTCTCTTCTCCCCCCTGACCTCAGGGATCCCACCAGGAGTCCTTGCTCAGAGGTCATCCAGGAACTCTTCCTGACTGTCTTCAGATGGGGATTAGTGCCAGGGACCAGAGACCATGGGGTTTGGGTTCTGAGAGCATGGATCCCTTCACAGCCATGTAACCCAGAAGGCTTTCACATCACAGCGTAGAGTCAGGAGACCCGAGTCTGTCTCAGCTCTGTCACCAGCTGACTGTGTAACCTTGAGCCAAATGCCTTGACTTCACTTGGCTCACTCCCTCATTGCCAAACAAAGGAGGTGTTAGGCTGGATGATATCTAGGGCCCCTTCCAAGCTCTCATCTTGTTTAATACCCTGTTTAACAGTAGGGGAAATCATAACTTTGGATTAGTCCTGGAGAGAGAGATGCTGAGTGTGTTCCATTCTGAATTGTAGGGGGTGAGCTCGCGCTGTCTGCGTTCTTAGTGCTAGTGTTTCTGTGGCTACACAGCCTACGAAGACTCTTCGAGTGCTTCTATGTCAGTGTCTTCTCCAATGCCATGATTCACGTCGTGCAGTACTGTTTTGGACTTGTCTACTATGTCCTTGTTGGCCTAACTGTGTTGAGCCAAGTGCCAATGGACGGCAGGAATGGTGAGTGGTTGCTGGGGTCTGTCAGCTGAGTCACTGGGTATATGAGGGACTCTGGGTGAAGCATTCCACCAAGCATTATGGAAGTTAGAAAGTAGGAGTTCACTTTGCATTTGAGGAGTTTGGGCTCTAATTGTAGCTTTAAAAAGTCAACATGCCCAAGGGTGCCTAGCAGATGCACATCACAACCATAACTGCTAAAACCTGAGAGATACCAATGTAAGCAGCAATGCCTCCAGTAAAGAGAATAAAGTGCAAAGTCTTCAGGAGGCCTGGTTTAGGGATGAAGAAGTGGGATGTGGGGTTTCCGTCAGTGGGATTGAAATCAGTGAACTTCTGTGGAGTTAGTCTGGAAAGGAAGAGGCAGTGTGGTCAAGAGTAGAACAGGAAGCAGGGGAACACACTGGAACAGGAGAAAGGGTCAGCAAGCCAAGCTGCCTCACCAAAGCCTCATCATCCAGGGGTGGAGGGGTGAGGGATGAGGGTGGGGAAGGGAAAGTTGTTGTGCAGGGTGAAATCATGGAATACCAGAGGAGGAAAGGGTGGCCTGAGCTCATGGTGAATAGTTGGGATTTGAAGAGGAGGTAGGGAGCCATTTTGTTGCCATCTCGTTCTTGTGATTGTTCCCGTTGTAACAAAGCTTATTTCAAGTGAGGCAGCCTGAGCGGAGAGGACAAAAGAGCACTGTGGTAAATCAAAATTGTGCCTTAACACTTCTGAGCTCTCACTAGCCAGGAAGAGGGAAGCAAAATCATGACTTTGTTTATGAGGAGGAAGTGAAATGTGATTTGGGGGATGGGGGAGAGGGAGGATTGGATATCTGACATATCTGACCATGGCTTTTGTAAAAACAGTGCATGCTTATCATAAAGAATTCAAGTCATTTTGGGTGATGGAAATGAGTTTTCTAGTGCTGAGCTTAACTTCATCTCGCACCCTTGGTATCCGTCAGCCCACACGCTCTAGGGTAGGTCCTTCACAGCTGTTTTCACTAAGCCCAAGTCTCCCTGTTTCCTAAAGCTGCCCTATCCCTCCTTGTAAATTGAGCCCACGGTCTGGATATTTCCAGTACTCAGTGAGTGAGCTCTCTCCTCAGGTTTGATTTCAGTGTCAAGTACCCCTTGATTGGCCTCTCTCTCTGTTGCTGTAGGACAACCCGTGGCCTCCATGGCGCAAGGAACGATTTTAAAGTATGACTTATTGACGCTCTTTCTCAATTCCTGAGTTGTTTATTGGCTCCAGCCACTCAGTTAGCATCTCTCCATCTAATTTCTCTGAACGTAAGTCAGTTTTTCCTACCTGAGCTTTCGGCTGTGGCATCCTTGTGCCTCCCATGTCATGGTTTGAGCCGTCATTCCTGGAGAACAGTCCGAGGTTTTTACCCAAAGGAGCTTTCCAAAGCACTTTGGTAACCCACTAGCTTGCAGTCTGTTAGCATTACATATCTCTCCTGGAGTTTCCTCTGCTGGCTGGACCCCAACTTCCACCTTCCTTCCTGTATAAGAAGTCAAGGAAAGGCTGCTGAGACACCCACAAAATAGCTTGTAGACACTAGACACTCCTTTCTGAAGTTTTCTGAAACTTGTGTTTCACCTACCTGTCCTTCAAGAGATCATCTGGGACAGTATGGGGAGGACTGGTTTCAGGAATTCATTGGAAGAGAACACTGGGGCATTTGCCAGCTGCAGAGTCTGATAGAAATGACAGGGGCTTGGGCGTCAGATGGGCCTGAGTCTGAAGTCTGGCTTATTAACATCTCAGAGCCTCAGAACTTTCATCTGGAATTAGGGACATATACTGATTTCAGAGGGTTCTTGTGAAAGTGGAAAGAAAGTGTGTCTGTAAACTACCCATATCTTCACATCTCCTTGCCTTCAGAATCTAGAGGGTCCACCCCCAGTCACTCTCCATTACATTGTTCTGTTGTTTTTTCTTCAGAGTACCATCTGTACCTTAAATTATCTTGGTTATTGATTTTTTTACTTGTTTCATCTCTTGCTACTAGAGTGTGAGTTCATGAGGACTGGGACCTCACCTGACTTACCCACTGCTTTATCCCTTGTGAGAGATGCCACGCTCAGTAGACACTCAGTAAGGAACGAATGAATAAATGAATAACTAAATACTACACAGATTAGACTCTCAGTAAATAGCCTTCCTCCTGCCTCCCCTTTCCTGTATCAAAACTTACTCTTAAATTTTTTTTTCTCTCATAGGTAATTTCTCTGCCTTTAGAGTAGGTGACTTACTTGGCTGTAACATGAACTCTCAGACACTTGCTTCAACTTTTAGTCCTGTGGTGACTTGCTCTTATAGCCTCTGATTTAAAACTATTTTTCATAGTCTGTTTATTTTTAACTTATAAAAATATAACTATTTAGTTAAATGGCTAAACTTAGTCAACATTAAGAGACTATGGTAGATTGTTTAGAGAAAGCAAGTTTTTAAAAGAAATTCACACAATTAGATTTTGGTGGACTGTCATTAGTCATTAGCTGTCATCAGCGGAGTCCTGCCTCCAGGTACCCATATGGAATAGCTTGATCCTTGGTTCTCCTACCTGAATCAACTTTGTAGGGGCTCCCTCTTGGCTGCAGAGCCTCCGGCTCTTCCCCGTTGTCAATGGACAGCTTTGTTTTTTCAGTCAAATCCCTGACTAGCCTCACTGCTTCCTGCTGAACATAGGGAAGTCCTTAATTTGTTTTTCTAATGCCAGTCCTTAGAAAACCTGCATTCTTCACGTCTTCTTGGTAGCTGGAGAAGAAAGAAGATGAAACTTTTGAGTGTTTCTACTCCTGAAACAAAATCTCTCTGACTAGATTCTCTCTAATCAGAAAGGGATACTGTTTTGGTCTTTATCTTGCAGTTTCCATTTCTCCTCTTTTTGAGAAGTTCCACTGTTAGCCTTTACTTCCAGTGATTTTCTTCACTGGCCAGAGCCAGTCAAGTCAGCATTAAAGGTTTCCTTAGAAATGGCTCGGGATGAGATCCTTTAGGAAGTGTTTTTCTGACGGACTGTAAGAAAGAGGACATAAAACCAGGCTTAGAAATAAAAATGCTAAGTAGTCTCACCACACAAGAGTGCATCACAAGAGTGGGAGACCGAGCTGACCCCTGTGCTTGAAGCACTTGAAGAAGGAGCAAGAGAATGTGCTGATATGGAATTCTCTGCCAGGGGCCCCTGAGGCTGCCCCCGGCTGAGGAGCACACCTCCCTCATCCACAGGGGTGCTGTTCTCCCCTCTGTACTTGGGAAATTATAGCAGGATGATTTTCCAGTCGTGAAGAACAGAATAAGTAGGTAATGGTGTTCTACTGATTCTATGATGTTTTTAATGCTCTGAGCCTCTGAAATTTTGCAGAGTTGGCTAATGAGATCATTCTTATTTCTGTAGTCTATGTGATAGGGAAAAATCTCTTGATGCAAGCTCGGTGGTTCCATATCCTCGGAATGATGATGTTCATCTGGTCATCTGTCCATCAGTATAAGTGTCATGTCATTCTCGGCAATCTCAGGAAAAATAAAGCAGGTGAGATATCTTTTAGAACCACTGCATGTGGATTTTAGCCCTCAGAAGTTAGGTGTACATATTACTTCTCTCTTTTCTTTCCTGCCCTAATTAGTTGACTAATCTATCAAATGCTCTTTTTTTTTTTTTTTCCTTGTGGTACGCGGGCCTCTCCCGTTGCGGAGCACAGGCTCCGCGCAGGCTCAGCGGCCATGGCTCACGGGCCCAGCCGCTCTGCGGCATGTGGGATCTTCCCGGACCGGGGCATGAACCCGCGTCCCCTGCATCGGCAGGCGGACTCTCAACCATTGCACTACCAGGGAAGCCCTCCAATGCTCATTTTTGACAAGACTCTCTGGGTCTTGATCTTCCCATCTGTAAAATGAGAGCATTTTACTGAAAGACCTCCCTGACACCATCTAGCCCTGACATTCTACGACTGTATTCTGTGCCCACATTTTGGGACCTACACTGCATATATGTGTCTAACCAGCATGTGAGCCCTAGTATTACTGTGCCAAGTTAGTATCATTCCAGCTAAAGCAAAAAAACCTTGACTCTTTAGTTAACTTGTGTTGACTTACCACAGTTAGAGTTTTTATTAGACTTTTTGAAATATTAAAAATGGAATAGTACTATTCAGCGTTTATCAAGTGCTTATTTTGTGCCGGCCCTGTTCTGAGTGCTTTATATGTAACTTCACAGTACTCGCTTTAGGCGGGTACAGTCTTATCCTCATTTTATAGATGAGGAAAGAGAGGCACAGAGAGGTCAAGCAACTTATCTAAAGTTACACAGCTTGTAAGTGGCAGAGCTAGGATTTGAACTCATGCAGTCTGACTGGTGTCTGAGTTCTTAATAGCTTGGAGGATTGTTGGAGAAACTTATTTACAGTTGTTAGTATAACCTCAGCATGTGACTTTTTAATATGTAGTAGAATGACAATGGAGGTGTGACAGGATGGTGGTTTGTACAGGTCTGTGACACCTTTTTCTAAATGAGTTTTATAAATTATTTGGAGGGTGAAGTGGTAAAACTTTGTTTTGGCAACTTCAAATGTTCAGGGTATCTTCTTTTTCCATTTCAGGAGTGGTCATTCACTGTAACCACCGAATCCCTTTTGGAGACTGGTTTGAATACGTTTCTTCCCCTAACTACTTGGCAGAGCTGATGATCTACATTTCCATGGCTGTCACCTTTGGTTTCCACAACTTAACTTGGTGGCTCGTGGTAACATATGTCTTCTTCAGCCAGGCCCTGTCTGCTTTCCTCAGCCACAAATTCTACAAAAGCAAATTCGTCTCCTACCCGAAGCACAGGAAAGCTTTCCTACCATTTCTGTTTTAAGATAATCTCAGTTATGAGGAATGCACACCAGGTGACAGTTCCAATTCCTAAGGACAATGAAGTCTAGAGACCAAAGTACAATTTCTGTAGAACTGTTTAAAACCCTCTGGTCCATTTCTGTTACCAGAAGTCTTCAGTGCATGAGCAAAGCAATACCACTCAAGAAAATGAGTCTTTCTTGGGACTTCCTTGGCAGTCCAATGGTTAAGGCTCCGCACTTCCACTGCAGGGGGCATGGGTTCGATCCCTGGTTGGGCAACTAAGATCTCACTTGCTGCTCAGCGTGGCAAAATAAATAAAAAATTTTTTTAACAATGGAAGAGATTGAGTCTTCAGAGAAGAAATACTTCTGGCAGACCTGGGAGTGCTATGTCTGCTTTCTAAGATGCTTTATAAAAGCAGCCAAATGCTAAAAAGTAGATGAGACTTTTCCAAGCTGCTTCAAAAACAGACTAATCAAGAATATACAAACAGCTTCAAACAAACACACACACAGTGGAAGAGATAAGGTCATCTGTGGCTTTGTTTTTGCTACAGACAAATTAACTAGACTACACGATAAGCAATACAGCAGATGCTCAGTAACTGCTTGTTGCATATCAGTCAAAGCTGAATAGCCTTTGAAAATAACAACAATGTATAATTTCACACCAATGGATTCTGGGAAAAGTGAGTTTATTGAAGTGAGCTTATACTTATTACCACAAAGATTTCCAGCTATGTAACCATCAATAGTCATTTCCCCCTCAAATCATAGCCTAACAAAGTTTGAAACCTCTTTTATTTAATATTTTTTTGACATCCCTTTCTAGGGAGTACCTTAAAAGTGTAAGCATCTGAAATAAAATATTTTTATATTTATGCATAGAAAGCCCTCATGAATGGAACTGACTTGCACTCGGTATTGGATAGTGCTGTAGCCTCATTCATATGTAGTTATTCAAATTGGATTAATGTCTGCCTGAGTGTATTTTAACTAATAGAATGAATCTGAAGATATTTAAAAATGAAGTTTACACTTAAGATAGCTTATGTTAAAGAAAATATCCATGATTAAATCAAGTGGAGATATAACTGCATGGTGTGAAAGTAGAAAATAATACTATAGCCTGAGCAACGCAGTAAAAAACTGCACATTCGTGCAGCATAAGATTTACTGGCATACTGGCTGAGGTATTAACTTTGTTTCTTTTATACAGATATCTTCTTATAGTCTACTAGGTACTAAAGTTTTGCACTAAGATGTACCATGCTGTGGGGGAAAGCACCTCATTATTAACCAGACACACATGGAAGGCACAGTCTAAGAATATCCTCCCAGCCTGCATCTCTGGAGTAGTAAACCGAAGCTGGTAAACAGATTCTTTTTAACTCAGCTTTCAATATATGTATATCAGCACATTTTCTAAAGTGCCTAGATTTCTGAAGTAGCATTTTCTCCCCAATAATCAAATACCACTTCCATCAGCTGTTCCATCTAATAAATGACATAGTCATTTCATTTATCATTTAGATTTGCCATCCTCAGGACCGGGACTCAGGAACAAAACTTTCTACACCAGAAATGTAAAGCATATTGCATTTTGGTCTTAATTTCCACACAAATGGCATAAATAATTTTAGCGTATTATTTGGGGAGAAAAATGTATTTTGCTTTAGCATACGGTTTTATACTAGGTTAGACTAGGAATTTGTCTGCTATTCTGGAATTTCATTGTATTTTTAAGTAAAATAATGAGCATTCCCTGTGAAGAAGCCTGTCGGGCCCTGAGAGAGGGTTCCCAGTCAGCTCTGTGCTCAGCATGTTCTTGCCATCCTTCTCATGCTTCTCCTGTCTTCTACTCTCCCTCCCCCTTCCTTGCCCAAACATTGCATTTCTAGGTGAAGACAGAAAAGGAAGTAGTGATGTCCTCAAAGAGGCTCCGAACAAAGTTGTGTGGTCTTTGACGAAAGCTCAGCCGTGGAGAATAATTGAGAATTGTGCTCGCAAGATCACAGTCAACGTTGCTCTTTGTGCTGGTAAAAATAGTCCATGTGCCTAAAGGGAGAACACCAGAGAGAGTCTGCAGATTCTTCACATGGATAATCCAGAAATAGCTTGGGGCTGGAGATTCTTGATTTTCCTATTGGCTTAGTTGAATAGCTTTACTCTTTAATTCTCTGTTACTGTTAAGTTCGGGAAAATGTTACTGGACTACCTCATGACAGCATTCCCTGGATTAGCTACTGACTAGAAAAGTGTAGTGAAAATAGCCTTTGTTTTTAAGTCTCCAAGTTGTAGCTCATCCTCTATACTAACACTTGCTTTCAGTAGCATGGATTATTTTGTCTCCACAAAGCTTTGTTCTGTATTGTGTTTTAAATTCAATGAGTGGTTATTGCTAGAATTCCTATCCCAAAAAGAAGCCTTTGCCGGTACTCTTATATGAAGCTTAATGGATAGTTTAAGGAGACTGTAAACATTTGCATAACTGAAGTTACCTGAAAATTCAAAGACCATTGATAAGTAACATATCTCAAAATGAACTGTTGTATTAAAGGTCTTAAAATAGTAAATGAGCAAGTAGAAATTTTTTACACCTATCTAAGCAATTTCTGCCCACTCGCTTACATTGCTTATCAGAAAAAAAATATTCAGCTGATTTTTATCAGTGTCTTACATTAGTCTAAGATTTTTCTGATAAATGGACAAGAAACAGTGGAGGTGGCAGTGATCCCTAAGTAATTCACGTGATGCATACTTCATCATTTTTCTCAAATACCAATGATCTAGAAAGCCATGTATTGGTTTGGGGGAAACAGAGAGCTACTCTACATAATATCAGGTCTCTTCCTTCAAAAAGACTCTGAACACTTGAAATGCTTAGAGGACAAAAGAACACAAGAGATTTCTCAACACAAAGACATATCTGCCTCCTGAGCCTAGCCCTCTGGGTAAAGCCTCATAGCACATGTGCAGTTTTTATCAGGGCTCCTTGGTCTACATAGCGTCTTTCTGTGAATTAGATAAGTCGTTACTCTAGAACATCCCCACAAGAGCAGGGCATGAACCTTTGTGGACACAAAAGGCAGCTGGTGATAGGACTGCAGCTCAGTGAGCGGAGCTTGAGCTGGATCTCAGCCCACTCACCCTTCAGCCTGCGGTCCTTTGTGCAGTGAGCAGCCTGCACAACCTTCCAGAGAGACCCTGCTCATCGTGCTGCCTGTCTGTCTGCAGATTCTGTTCACTCTTGAAGAAAACAAAACTTGATTTCATGGAATCATCTCATTGAGAAAGACCATAAGAATTAAACTAGGAGAAGGGGAAGTAAGCACTCCATGCAAAACATCTCTGCTTCCACACACTAAAAGAGGAGTCTGGTGGTTAACAGGTAAGTGACCCTCAAACAGAATGTCTGTCCAGATGCTAGGATGCTGGCCCCAAGTAGAGAGAATATTTTGCTTCTCTGATTACCAGCTCCTGTCTTTCCAGGTTATTGTTCTAGTACAGCAACTCCAAGTCTTTCCACCCCATTGGGACCTCCAGTCTGTCGATAGAACGTAGTCCTTCACCTTTTCTAAGTCATATCTCCTTACCCTGCTTAAGTGAATCACTCTAATCATTCTTTGTATATATCCCCAGTCCTCTTGCCGCCGCACATTGCTTCTTCCTGGTGGTTTAACCAAGGCACACCCCTGGTTAAATTCAACCCTCCCTCCTTGGTGTGTGCGCCTATGCAACCGAACTGTGGCTGGAGAAATACAGTCCACCAACATCCCCCTTCGAATTCATGGCCGTTAACCGCAAGTGGCGTTCACTGCTGCAGTCATACTAAATTTCCCCAGTCCGTTCACTCTCCCACTCTGCTGACTGTGTCACATCCCTGTCCTCAGGAAAACGAAGCTGCTGGAAGACAGCTTCCACCGTTACCACCACTGCCTCCACCCACCTAAGCATTTGCCCGTTTATGTTGTCCGCCCTCGTTACTGTTGAAGGATACTTTCTTTTTAAAAGAGGATGTATAATCATGATTCTCACACAAATATAAAATGAGCGCGTGCCAAAGATTTTATTGAACTCACAATGAAGGAACTAGTAAGATGTTAGAACCAGTACCGAGAGTCTGCTGCTTACAAAGTTGCAAAATAGCTCAAAGACGAGGTGCAGATAACCTGAGGAGTGTGCTGGACAGGGCACCAGTAATATTTTTTGCTCATTTCCAAGTCATTTGCAGTTTTTTCCTGAGACTAAACAATCTCTCTGGGTTTCTACTCAAAGCTAGGCCCTCTACTTGGGCACTAGAGTCTACCTAAGGACATTGGTTAGCCATTCTTCCTCCTACTAAATCAGCAAAGTTTTGCCATTTCTCAATTTTCCCATCAGCAGAAAAATACCTTATTAACACCTAACCCCATTGCCCTCACCACCTGATTTTTCTGGTGGCTTCGCAGCAAAACTAGAAAGAGTTATTTTGTTCCTACTAGCTCCAGTTCTTTTTCTCTCGCTGCCAAACCCATTCCAGTCACTCTCCAGACCTCACGACTCAACTGACACTGCTCTTGAAAGTCCATGCTAAATCCAGCGGTCACTTCTCAGTATTCATACCAGCACAGCAGCGTTGGTCTGCCACTTCACCTTGATACACTTCCTTTAATTGACTCCAAGACTCCACACACTCCGAGTTTTCCCCCTACCTCCCTGGCTATTCCTTCCCAGGTTTCTCTACAATTCCTTCTCTCTATCCTGACTTCTGAATGTAGGAATATGCCAATTCCCAGTTTTTGGTTCCTTGGTCCCTCTATCTTTAGATGGTGATCTCATACAGTCTCATGACTTTAAATACTATTTGTATACTGACAACTTCTAAATATATATATCCAGCCTAAACATCATTCCCCAACTCTAGACTCATATGTCCAATTTCCTGCTTAATGTCTCTACTTGGTGTGTAATAGATATCTCGATAGATGTGATTGAATTTCTGATTTTCCTCAGCCCCACACCTGATCCTCCTATAGTCTTCCCATTTCTTTATTACTCAAACTGAAAATGATGAGGTCTTCCTTGACTTTTCTCTTTCTCTCATGCCCCGCAGACCAATCTGTGGTTCTACATCCAGAAGTCATCCCTGTTACATTGACTCTATGAGCTACCATCTTGATTTTAGCCACCATCATTTCTTGCCTAATTTACTGCCCAGACTCATATTTGGTGTCCTAGCTTTCTCCTTTATTCTCTACAGCTGCTTCTCAGCACAAGCCAGAGTGATCTTTCAGAAACGTAGATCATGCCACTACTCTCTCAAAACCCTGCAACAGCTCCCAATTTCTCTCAGATCAA